CACACACACACACACACAGGGAAGAAGCTCTTTATCATGATTATCTTTTTTTATCCAACACATGCACGCACACACACCCACACACACACTGTCACACTCTCGGCTGATTCCTGATGGATGATCCCTCATCCACATGTATGCATGCATACATTAGCTTTATTAGATTATGGCTCCAAGAGCGCCATATGCAGTACAGCACATTCCCTTCTCCTCCTTCTGCGTCTCTTCATGTATGCGTGTGCGTGTGCGCGTGCGTGAGTGTGTGTGTGTGTGTGTGTGTGTTGCCAAATTGCCATTGTGATAATTCATCTATTTGGCTGCAAAATGATATGCAGAGATCAATAAATGTGGATGGATGATGCCATTCTGTGGCTTTGTAGCCGAAACACAATAGCTTAAAAGACAAGTGTTGCTGCGGTCCGTGATATTTATGCGTGTGTGTGTGTTTTTCACAGGGGAAAACATCTCCACCTACTCTGGTGTTCAACCCTCTTTTCTCGGACATCAAGGAGGAGCCAGGACACCCCACCCTGGTCCATCCCAGGTACTACACCTGATTCACTTTAATTAAACAATGATACACCTTTTTTTAGGGTTGCAACTAACAGTTATTTTTGTTATGGACTTATCTATGGATTGTTTTTGGATTGGTTATAAAAATACAGAGAAATAGAAATGTCAACCCAAAGTTATTTAGTTTACAAAGATATAAAATCATTGCATTTGAGAGGCTGAAACCAGACAATGTTTGGCATTTAAAGCCTTATCACCTTCGTCACGTGTGCCTCCTCTCCCTCCTTACTTTCCCTTTTCTTCCCAAAGCCCTCAGTTCTCTCCTCCTCCCTCCATCTGTCCTGTTTGGATATGGCGCTCTGATGGCTCACACAGTAATCTGACCCAGATTATAAACTGGAATTAGATGGTTTATGGCGCCATGGCGTACATGTGACAGCCTTGACTGACTGTGTGGCGGCACGCAGACGTTGGGCCAGACAAACTGGCAGGATTAAAGTTTTGATCGCCTCCCAGCAGCATCACATGACTGCCACTCTCTCAAACCAGTCAGGACTTGCGCAGACCAGTTTGGAGCGTGTCTGTTTGCATTGCAGCGTTAATAACAATGAAGTGCCACGGCCGAATGTCGTGCTAGACTTCCACTTAACGCCGTATTTCAGTTACTACCGACATCCATTAGCGGTACACTTGTCACATACAAGGCCAGCTTACATTATTCAATCACATCTCAGGCGTTTCATGTGACGGAGTTTCAGATTCCCAGTCAGGCGCGCAGGCAGTGCTTCGTTCCCATCCAGAGGACAGGAAGCGAGGCTCGGTTTGTAGTGCTGTAGTTTTTCAGGCAGAGCCCCACTGAGCTGTCATGCTTAACCTAGTTCACAGCTCCAGCTCTGTCTGGAGGGGACTGCTGGTGGGGGAGGGGTTCAAAGCTCTCCTCTCCTCCATCTCTCTCTCAGTCTCTTTCTCTTTCTCTCGCTCAGTCTCTTTCTCTTTCTCTCTCTCTCTCCTCTCTCCCTCCCTCCCTCCCCGCTATGTAGCCAGGAATAGACAGATAGTGTTGGCTCAGTGACTTCAGTGCATCTCCAGGCACTATCTCTCTCTCAGTTGTACGCACTACCTGGACATTTGTGATAAGCCGTAGGTCTGTTTAGGCTGAAATCCTGTAAACACATGATAAGAAATATTCATATTCCACACTGTGTTCACAGCTCCTGTCTTTAGATGGGATAGGCAAAAATAGCCACCAAATGACTGTTGTTCTATTGCTCTGATTCAGCTGTGTTTTACTGTTGTAGAGGTAAAAGGGCCATTGAAGTTATTGCAGGAGTATATGTTGCTTTATGTATATCAGCACTGCAAAGTCCATATCTCGTAACTTTTTACGATCTTTACTGCAAAGAGAGAAGTATGTGAAAGGTGACGCTGCTGTCGACGAAACAGATGGTTGATTCATTACGTACTTAATTATCAGGCTTGGAATTTAATTAAATTGACTTAAAATGTTCAGCATTTGGTTCTAGGGTTAACATTAGTTAGATTTATCTACATATGAAGGCTGTTCAGTGTTTAAATCTCTTTCTTTTCTTTATCTCTGTTTCTCTCGCAGTTACTACCTGTACACATACGATAAGATGGTGGCTCCCAACGTGTCTCTGCGGAGGGAGGCGGAGATGAGTCCCGAGATGTTCGGAGCGCTGCTCAAACACCACTACAGCCGCAGAGTGCTGGGCCACGACGAGCCACCAATGGGTCAGTAAATGACGGTCATGCTTAATTACAAACATATTCCACTTTACCACACCGATCCAGAAATTAAACGTTCTTTGTAATATATTTTAGAGCACATTACAATCCAAGGGAGAAGGAATCTTTTCTGTCTGCCTTTGAACAGTGTTTATGTTGGAGCACATCTGATGCAATCTGGTGACATATTCCAAGAGCTACGACCATAAAAAGAGCCACTTCACTAACTTTAGATTTCACTCTTGGGACAACCAGAAGGTCTGAGCCAGAAGAGATCTGAGAGGTACTGCACTGTGGAGCGAGGCTATGTAGACCAGATATACTGAAAACTGTCATCCCTTTAGACTGGATACAAATGCAAATGCTGAGTGAGAAAGTCCCACCCACAATGCTAAAATAAAATAAACCACTACTTCCTTCCATTACCACCTTGTGAAACAACGACAACAACAACAACAACAAGAGCTGAAACAGGTGAAAGTTCAGTTTCCAGTGTATCCATTCAATTTATAAGCTTTAGAACTAGCTCATATTAGCTACATGCTCCAGAAACGACAGGTTAAAGTGAAATTTCATGTTCTGAAATTCAACTTCTCTTTGCTCCCAGATAAAGAAAATGGTTGATAGTCTTTTCTATAATGTATGTTCAAAACTAAACTAAAAAAAAACTATTTAATTATTAAATTATAGTCAGTAGTTTTACTTTAAAGCGGGCCTTATTTAGCATTTATAAGCAGCATATAAACATCTAATAAATGATTTATAAAACACTGTTATGTAGTTGTAACTAGATATGAGCATTCATTAATGTATTAGTCAATACAACTCCTCCTGTGGGCACCTGTAAGTGGAGGCTGGTGCATAAACAGTCAATGAATGATCAAATAGTAAAACACTATTGTTGTAATAATAGGAATAAGAATAATAATATAAGAGTAAATTCAGTGAGCTGGTTGAGGTGTTATTTGTGGATTTTGTTCTCCTAGCGACACTGCTGTGGTAGAAGGGACAAGTGTCTCTGGAGTTTCTTTTTTTAATTTTGTGGTCTGCTTATGCATGATTTTAGAGCCGCTTGCCATTGTTCTGCCATATCTCTGTGTTTGTTTGTCGTTTTCTTGTTTTGCTCTGCGAAGTTCTTTCTGTTTTGTTCAGGAATGGTGGTTTACTGTCAGCTTTGTATGCTTTTACAGGTAGACCACGCGTCAACCTCTCCGAGTGCGCTACAAATCTGCACGTCCTTCCACTCGTGTCCTTGCTGGTATTCATGGCGTAATGCTCTGGCCTCATGTTGTCTCCCATGCGTTAGTTATAGTAAGGATCACCTGCTCGTTCAGGCCGTTGCTTGTGCCTCTTAATGCAAATTACTATGCGAACGCAAAGCACGTCCTTCAAAGGCTAACAAACTTTCATGATTACGACGGCAACAAATGTATCTCGGGTGTGCCTCGCTGCAGGTTGCCCCGAGCTTGTCCTTGCAAACCGGCAAATGGCTCCATTACCACAACTTACGAGACCAAACGTAACGCTTCATACTTCTGACCAACTAAATGCTCAAGCCTCAAGGACCACTTACTAACCTGTTTCCCAGAGACCTTTTAACTAGAAACAGCCGCTTTTTTTTTCAACTCATCGTAAAATGAACTTTGGTAAGCAGCTCAACAGGATAAATACTGTTCTTAATATAAGACATTATGTAATTTACCTTATCTG